TTTTTTTTTTTTTTTTTTGAAGACCGTCCACATACTGATTTTTATCTTGCTGCTTCTAGGATTCTGTTTTGAACTGTTAATAATTTGATTATAATGTCTCATAATGGGTCTGTGGCTTTATTCTACTTGTTTGTTGAGCTTCTTGAATTAGTACAACCATTTCCTTCCTCAAATTTGGAGCATTTTAGAGTAACAAGGATAAATGGGGGTTGGGGATATAGCTCAGTGATAGAGTCTTTGTTTAGCACATAAGAGGCCCTGGGTTCCAGCACCAGCACTGAAAAAACAATTGCCCACTACTAGTGAATTTTATTTAATCACTTCCAATGCACCTTTTTGGCTGAAAGGAGCATGTAAACTAAAGAGAATTTTCTCTATTTTCACTTCAGAAAATAACAGGAGGTAGCAGTTGGTCCCTGACTGGGGCGGGGGGTGGGGCTGTAAAGGGAGCGCTAACTCTGAATCCGATGGTAGCTACAGCTACAGCCTGAGAGAGGCCAGGCCACGAAGCCACTCAGTGATGAAGTCATGAAGTCACTCAGTGATGAGGCACTGCCTTGAACAGTTAGAATGAAGCTGTCTAATTTCTCCATCTGATGTGCTGTGTGGTGCCAGGCTAATGCCTGCTCTTGGTTGGTGGTGCAACCTTGGGTTAGGGTCCTCTGAGAAGGACTGGGGAGGGGCCCACCGTGAAAGAGACAGAACAGGACGGGAGCAGACACAGGAGAAAGACGCACTCGCCAGGCTCTCAAAGGTAGGAGACTGAAATTTAAACCTTCTGAGCAGCTGCTTATATATAATAAACATGGGCACAGAAAGAATTCCAAAGTAGGGGCTGCAGAGATGGCTCAGAGGTTAAGAGTACAGGATGCTCTTGCAGAGGACCTAGGTTAAGTTGCCAGCACCTACACGGCAGCTAACTGTCCATTATCTCCCTTTCTAGGGGATCTGACAACCTCTGGCCTCTGCTGGCATTGCACAACACAGGTGCACTTATATACATGCAGGCTACACACTCAAAAACAAGTAAGAAAAAAATTTTAATTAAAAAAAGGCATTCCAAAGTAGCCATCTATCTCTCCACGTTTAGAAACAAAGGAGATGATGCCACCTGCTCAAAACATGTTGAAGCTGATACCTGTTTGGTCTTCTCCCAGCCCTAACCACAGAACCCTCAGATTTGGAGCTGATTCTGTATAAAACACAGGGCCATCTCCAAGCATCTTACCTGAGGCTTCCTTCCTGGCACGGAAGACATCTGCAGGGCAATGTTGGGCCTTAAGAACACACTGACTCCTCCAGCAGCCTTCTTTGCTGGAGTTTCAAGCTGCTTCTCAAGGTTTTTGACCATCGACTGCACCAGTGTTTCTAGAAGAGGGATAAGTGGCCATGTCAATGGAGTAAGCCTGGAGAATGAATGCTTCATCCTTGTGGGCCACATCCAGGCTCCAGTGTGGACAGAGGGAACTGAGAGGAGGTCAGATGGGAGATGGTAAGACAGCCACACAGAAGAACAAGAAGAAGATAGAGAGGGGCCAGGCGAATACAGGGAGGCTCAGAGTGCCTTCTAAGATTCAAATGCTAGACATCTTCGTAGATTTTCAGAGCTGTAACAGCCCTTGAATGACAGATCATTCAAGAAACATTTTGAGGCATGCTTTTAAACCCAGCACTCAGGAGGCAGAGGCAGGTGGATCTCTGTGAGTTCAAGGCCAGACTGGTCTACATAGTGAGTTCCAGGACAGCTGGGGCTACAGGGAGACCCTGACGCAAAAAGACAAAAAAAGGAAAGAAAGAAAGAAAGAAAGAAAGAAAGAAAGAAAGAAAGAAAAGAAACATTTATTAAGGTCCTACAATGTACCAAGCACTATGTTCCTTGCCCTCTTACTAATCATCTTGTCAAAATGGCACTTTACAACAAAGAAACCAGGGCCTTCCCACAAAGACAAGGAGGTATCAAGTCACAGCCAGAACTGTATCAGAAGCCTCCTGGCTCCCAGGTCTACCATCTTGCCAGCCTATCACCCTACCTGCTAGGGCATCAAGACTCTAGAAAGATAGTTCTGGTAGATGCCAATGGGTTCACATAATCTGGTGGATTATGCTGTGACCATAAAGAAACTCTGCAGAGTCTATCACGACAGGTAATTACAGATTGCAAAACTAGGTGAAAACCCCAGAGCTTTTCCTGCTAACTTAACAAAGTCAAAACTCTAAGTTCCAGGACTGGAGAGATGGCTCAGTGGTTAAGAGCAGTGGCTGCTCTTGCAGAGGACCCAGGTTTGATTCCCAGCACCCACATGGCAACTAACAATCGTCTGTAACTCCAGTTCCAGAGGAATCTGACGCCCTTTTCTGACTTCCTCGGTCATTGAACAACACAGGTACACTTACATACATGCAGACAATATACTCATACATACAAAAAAATAATAATAAATTAAAAACCCCTCTAAGTTCCTATTCACTAACTCAGCCTGGGCTATGAAACACAATGTAAATTAGAGGCCTCTCTTAGCCATTTTATGAAAGAATCTTAAAAGAATGAGAACAGATGCAGTATTTTTAAAGGAAAAATCACTGTAACAACCTATTAGACAGAGCATGGTATGTTTAAGGAATTATTCCATAACACTTAGCTTAAGCCTCTAAGGGGCCCTTTTCATCAACAAGTTGGATTCCTGTCTGGCTCTTTGAAGAAAATGTCAAAGAACTTCTCTGTGGGGCTAAAATGCTGTTGTGGCCCAAAGGTTGCTGGTGGAGACTTGAGGTGTTCTGCTGACAGGACTTCCTGCTACCTTCTGCTGGCCGTTTCTCCATTCAGCTCTTACAGGGTGCTATACCTTAGATATCCCTCTCTACTGGCGAGAATATGGAAGACAGACATTCAGAAAGAAATGTGGGGGCACTAAGTAACCCTCACCCAAATTCTATCTTTTGACAATTCCAGAAGAAATGCTGAAGAAGAAGAGGAGGAGGAAGAGGAGGGGGAGGAGGGGGAGGAGGAGGAAGAGGGGGGAGGAGGATGAGGAGGAGGATGACGAGGACAAGGAGGACAAGGAGGAGGACGAGGACGGGGAGGACGAGGAGGGGGAGGACGAGGAGGAGGAGGACGAGGAGGAGGACGAGGAGGATGAGGAGGACGAGGAGGACGAGGATGGGGAGGAGGAGGAGGGGAAGGACGAGGAGGAGGAGGAGGAGGATGAGGAGGACGAGGAGGAGGAGGAGGACGAGGAGGATGAGGAGGACGAGGAGGACGAGGACGGGGAGGAGGAGGAGGAGGAGGGGGAGGACGAGGAGGAGGAGGAGGACGAGGAGGAGAAGGAGGACGAGGAGGAGGACAAGGAGGAGGAGGACGAGGAGGAGGAGGATGAGGAGGACGAGGAGGAGGGGGAGGACTTGGTAGAAAAATGATGAAACTTTGTCATCATACGGATCAGTGTGAAAAATAATTTGTAGGATCTTTAATTGAATTTTTGCAAATTTGATACAATATACTTTGATCAAATTTGGATTCCTCCATCTGCCTCTCTCTCTCTCTCTCCATATAGTCCATATATATATGAAAGCCTACAGAGGCTGACTTGGGTCCCCAAATGCCCTTCAATATGGACTCATTCACTGGAGCTCTGTCAAGCTTATCAAGAATCTCACCTTTAAATGAGACTGACTCCCCCTCTCAGATATTAGTTACCAATAGTTAGGTAGTGTTTTGTAATTTTTAAATTTGT